CGTTAGCCTTCCTGCTCCTCTGATGCTGCTTGGCCTGCTGTGTTCATCCAGCTCTACACCTTGGTAGCTAAGATTTTACCAGTGTGTTGGCGACTGGTTGGGAGGCATGTGGGCTAGGAAAATGGCACTGAAATGTGTCAGGAGCAAAGCCCAATGTGTTTGTGCCACTACAAGATTATCCCAGAGGCAGTCAGGGTGGTGGGATAAGGTCATATTTCAAGCTGATGAAAAGGCAATTAAGTCTGTTAAACAGGTAAATAATTGCAATTTTACCAGCACTTTTGTTTTTTGAGTGATGCAGAAGAAAACCAGAGCTTAAGAAACTTGTTAACTACAATGAGGCAGAAACTCAACTACATTTGACAGCCATTATGAGAATTTTGACAGTAGAATTTCTGGGTGAATGTCCTGTTACTTGGAAAGGAGTGGAATAGTGGAATTCCTTGAGAACTTTGCAGCAATTTGTTGTGGGCCTCATTCATGGCCTTGAGACTTCCAGTGAGGAGCGGCACAAGAGAGGTAGAGAGCTGTAGTCAAAAGCACCCACGTGCCCAAGAGGATCATGAGGCTGGAAGAAGAACTTATGAGAGCAGAGGGGCAAGCAACTAGCAAGATGCCTGCAGAAAACACTACCTATCAGAAATTATCTACGATGAGAGGTATTGTTCTCGGCAAATGTTGAAGCGGCAAAGTCACTGAGCACTTCACCTCTCCCATGCATGGGGCGGTGGGGTGTCACAGAACTCTGCCATAATGGACATGCAACTGGATGCAATGGGAAATGGTGTGTACCCTTGCCTGTGGCTTTGAACTTCAGTGTGACATTTGACTTTGGAGGCATCTGGAGGTTTCCTCTGGGGGTATAAAAAGTGGCAGTAACTGCATGGTACAAGAAAACTTCAAGGGAGCACAGACAAGATAGGCAGGGAGGTACATGTAGGGAGTTTCACAACGCACTCATGCAGACTCACGCATTTCTCATGAATAGCATTTATTAAAATAAGTTTTATTCCTTCTGTAGCTCTGCTGCCCTATGCTTGAATACTTCTCCAAAGCCCTGGACCTGTCGTCACATTGGCACAGGACATACATTAACCTCATTCGGTTATGTCCTTCCCATCACACCCTTTTGTGTGAGCCATCCATCAGCTTATGGTCAAAATATCAAGATTCATATAGATAGTTCAAGAAGAGGGTGACGTCTAAATACATTATCAAACTTTCTCAGGTGCTCGTAAATGCTTCTATATGGTTACCCTATCCTGTCAGTTGAGATGGAGGCAGTCTGGTAATGTGCTGTTTGTTCTGCGGATTTTGACGGCTGTGACAGTCACCCTTTGAGTGTCTGTGGCCTTGAGGATCTAAGTATATTGGAATCGCTGCTTGGATTCAGGAGTCGTCTCTGTTACCACAGCTTCCTTTGGCATTGGTGTGTCAGCCATAAGGGCTCAGTAACTGAAATGAATGGCAAGACACTGCAAAATCACTGTTAGATTGTCGGAGATGAGAAAAATTAAGTAAATTTCAAAGACTCGCTCCTGAGGTCTGCTCATGGTGGAGGGGGATTTGGGTGTGTGACAATGGAAGATAAAAGGGCAGCTTTGAGGAACCTCTGAAAGAAGTAAAGAGATGCACAGAGGTTAGATAGTAATTCTTGCACAATCTAATTTCATAATACAGATAATTAATTTATTAATTTTTGTTTGCACGGTGTAAAGTGCCAACCCTCTGGTCACCTGTACATGTATCTCCCCAGTAGACTGGAACATGGAGCAGTCTCGCCTGCATATCATCCTATACTTAGTACTCAAAATGTTACCAGTGTAGTACATTAATGTATACTGCTAAAATGCTTCATTGTTGATATGGACTCACTTAATCTTTAATACAGTTTCTATCTCTTTTATGTGCAGATGTTCTTGCTTTGGCTATCGCAGTTAAAGAAATGGCAGTAGCTACACGGAAAGCCCGGACTGCCTTGTGGTGTGCCCTCCAGATGACTTTACCTAAAACACCAAACGCCAATCCAGATGACCAAGTAGAAGTAGAAAGAGAACTACAGGATCTAGTAACTAATGGAGACAAAAACTATCAAAACAGAAGCAACTACTATAGTGGGGAAAAAAATGAAGTGGTGAAAACACGTGTTGATTAAGAACTCCTGAAGAAAAAAAACTGCAAATCTTTAAATTAAATGATTCTATTATCTTTTGAGTAACTAACGTGAATTAGTTAAGTTGCAGTGATCACAAATTCAGATAAACTAAAAAGAAAGCATTAAGGGGATAAAGACTAAAATGTGTAGTCTCCCTATAAAGTAATTATAAACATTGCAGCTTGTGGTCAAGCACGCATTTGGTTAGTGAATACATCTCTGTATAATTGAGACAAGTGATATAAAGCTTATTTAAAACTCTCACTACCATAATTTAACAAGGTCATTTTACCTTTTGTTGGTGAATTGTTCTTGTCAAATCTTCCTAATCAGAGTGACTAAAGCTTCTTAGTCAGGTAATTTTAATGCAATGTTTGTTTTAGTTTCTGTAAAATGTTTGTTATTTATTATAGGCAAAGTTTATAAAAGTGGTCATAGCTTTCCTTGACATGACCAAAAAGGAAAGGTAACCTCTATTTGGTGAAAGTGAGCAATAAATGCACCAAAGTGCAGTCTTTGAGAGCTTAAAATCAGTCTTAATCAAAAAAAAATTATCTAATGCCACAATGGTAAGTGGAGGTTAATTAAATAAATACTGTATACTGCAATTATCCTGTTATGTAAAAGGTTATCATAGTTTAGATTTAATGGTTCTGTTCTTATTTATATCACCCTAACCTGATTAGACCCTCCGTTTAAATAATTGAAGTTTCAGATAATGTGCAAAGGTCACAGACTTTGTATCATATAATTCAGAGACCTGGAGATATTGATCTAATAATATTGAAGATAATTCATTGAAAAATACCATTTATTAATAGTGCAGTTTTTTTCACATTTTTATGTTGCAAATAAGAGAGTCAGGAGTGATTAAAGGCAATAATTTCATTTTGGTGTTTAGGTGATATCGGATTGCAAATACAATTTATAACTAATCTGATTCCATTGATGGAATTACAGCCTGAAAATACACTCTGTCAATATTTTAAATTAATTCTTGGAACACTTCAATTAGAGTTGAGATTTTTTTTTGCCAACAGTGTTACATTATACATAACAATATCTATACAGAATAATTAAAAATTGTGACATAGGGTACACACTGGAAAGTACAAGGCAGTCGTTTTGTTAGGAGTTCTTTTTTCCCTCTTCCCCACTGAGATATCTCACTATGCCACCCTATGTCTGCTGAAGCTTCCTGTTTTTACTACATTACAGTCAGAAGTTCTTCACAAACTCACTAAAGTACATACTTCATTTGTGAATCTAGATGTAGAGGTTTGGCAGACCAGTTTATCATCAGAGCCATCACAGTACAGTCTGATTTTGTACCCATATAATGTCTACATAGACACTTCCCAGAACAGGCCAATGATAGTGATCGGGAGCTGGAACCCTTCCTGAACCTAGGGAATAAGGGTACCCCAAGTGTTGCTAAGACTAGGTCAGCTAATTCAACACAGAACAGGAATGAAACTAGGATCTTCTGATCAGTAAGCTTAGTGCTGGAAAGTGGCTTTGCCATTAGGCCATTGGGGGAGCTATGAGTGGATAATATTTAATATCACTGTTTGTTGATGCATGTTTTATTTATACATTAGTTTAAAAATCATTTCAGATAGTTTCAATTATTTTTGTTTGCTTATGTCTATGTAACGGGAGGCTACATGATGGCATTTTATGATGCAGTTGAAAGCCCACAATTAATTGTGTTGGTATATGCTATAATAGAATAACAGATTCTGTAATAAACAAATACCTACAAACCATAATTTTACAAATTAACTAATAGCATTTTAATAATGCTAATCACAGAAAGCAAAAAACTTACAGCAACAAAAAATTTCAAAGTAAAAGAAATAGGAATACAAAGAAATCTAAATGCAATGGTACAAAACCTCATAAAATGAAGTTTACAAGGAACTACAAATTGTCTACACCTTTCTAAACTGAAAATATCTTTGTTACAAGGAATACTGCTTCATTAACAAAAGCTTGACAGATGCTATTTAATATGGAAATTACATTTAATTATTAAGGATATTTGCAGTGGATGTTGTACTAGCTATAGTACGTGCTATGTTATTCAACAATCTAGATGTAATATGGTGGAATTTTTTTGTATTAGTGTATTGTTAGCATTTGCTAAATTTGAAGTAAACACTTTTAATTAGTGCTAACATGGCACATTTGGAAAGGATATTAATTTACTCTGATTGTTGCAGGTATTTTGTTGAATATATTTATCTGAGGCAGCTCGTTTATAATGTGTAAAATCTACAAATGCTAATGGCTTACTTTCCATATTGGGTAGACCTATGGTACTGTTCAAAGTTTTTGTACTGAAACAGTGAATTGTTCTGCATTTCTAGTTTGAAATCTAGAGGATGTAAGTCTGATATATGTGCCCATACAAATAAGTTTGATATTATGTCAGTGGCAAGTAGAATAATAGATATTTAGAAACATTTGCAGAACACTTAATTCTTGTAACTGAAGTGAATTGCTTCAAACTTGACAGTATTGTACTTAATTTAGTGTTGTATTATTTGGTATCCTAAATTGTCATTCTCAGATTCAGTGATTGAATATGTTTGTAAATGTCTTACAATCATTCATATTCATTGAATGATTTTCAGACATTCAATGTAAAACAATGAAGATGTCAGCAACTCAGAGACTCAAATGTGACATCTCAAATTTAATTGGCTATATCCAATGTAATTGTCATTTAGTTATGCCATTGATATGATTTACAGTGGATGTCATACAATTTATAGATTTCTTCCAATTTATCAAAACAATTTAATAAATTTCATAGATGTGATCTATCTTAAAGGTTAAAACAATTTCTCTTGAAATCAGTTTTAAAATATATTGTTTAATAGTGCATCTTGAGGTTATCCGGAAGGCATTTAATGCAGTCTTCAATTATATTTAAGCTAGGTCAAGATATGTCAAAATAAATGTGATATATCAGTATCTTTAAATGATAATTTGTGTTGTACGATTACCTTCAGGAACTAGAATTCTTTGGTCTTTTGAGTTTACGAATTGAATACTAGTTTAGATTAATGAATGAAAGGAACATATCTTTGTCATATGCTTGATAAATTGATCAGGAATACAGTGAGAAACCTCCTAGATGTTAAAATGTTTTAAGTGATCAATGAAATACTTGGTAATGTAATACACAACTGCTTAAATTGTAATCTCATGAGGAGTCAACAGAAAGTTGTGCATTTAAAAAAAAGTGTAGTAACTACTTGAAACAATGTCATTTATAAATGAGAAGAGTTAATCCAAGTTCCATAATTAATATTTAAAGAAGTTGACTTTGTATCAAAGAAAATGTGAATTTTTTGATTTTCCTAAGTTAACAGTTGATATATTTTACTGAACTGTATAAGTTACTGAAAATGTGATATTAAATAAATTAAATATTGGTCTTTTTTTTTACTAATCTTGATTTAAAAATGTATAAAATTAGAACATCAACATATTTGTTTAAAATTAGTTATAGCCCCATAATCACAAATCACAATTGGATAAGAAATGCAGTTGGTATTTAAAAGTCTGAGGTGAGAAATTTGTAATTGACAAAATGAACATTCTTTTGCTTAAGAAAAATAATGTTTAGCTTTAGCACAGAAGTAACATCAAGACTAAAAAAAGTCAAAATATCAATAAATTAGATAAGTTGTCTAATTTCAAAATAAATAGACAATCATTTTCACGTAATTAAGGAAAAGACCTGATGAGACCTCTAAAACACCCACATTTTTCAGAGAATGTGCCTCAACAAACCTCAGCCTGCAAAACAATTATGACCTTCCCCACCAACAACTTTGAAGCCAATCTTAATTCATTTTCACAGTTACCTTCTACTGACATTTTTGTCTATTTTGTCCACTAATTTCAACAGCTACAGTGTTGGGTTTTTACTGTTCAAGATTTACTCAGTCAAATTGTCTGCAGGATTTATTAATTTTGGACAGAATTTTAAGCATAGTTTTATGAGCTAGTCATTTAACTTTTCACTTCAGAGACATTTAGATTGCACCTTTCTTTCCCCCGTTGGTTGGAACAGTACATTGATTGATTTGCAAGTAAGATTGTAAGATTGGTAAGATTGGTACAGGCATTGTCATGGAGAATGCACCAATTAAATGATGACAGTTAACTGCCACACTTTGTTTAAATTTCAAACCAGATAAAATGACTGATCAAGGCATTTCTCAGAGGAATGAACCAGAGAATGGCTGTTGCCTATTTTGTGTTTGTTATGTTTAAGTACGCACTTTGTGTGCATTTAGTTGCCTGCAAAAAACAGGACCCTGTATACATATGTAGCTTCCAGTATATTCAGTGCACCACACTGCATGTCCAATGAAAGTTTTAAGTTGGTTTCACCATAACTCGTACCACCCTCAGGGTGATTTAACAAATATTGTCCATGCACAGAATCGCATCTAATGTTAGATACCATATTTTGACATTTGCACGCGCAGATTGTTTGGGTATGGTCAGTACTTTGCTTGTTATGAGCTATCAAAGTGCCATGCAATTTCATACAATTTGCCAATCTTTGGGACATAGGTCTCTGTACCTAGCATCACAATGGAATTGAAATTCATGCATTCGTAGCCCGGAGGAGTCCCAGTTGCTTGTCTTCAGTTAGGACAGCACAGTGGTAAGCACTGCTGCCTCACAGCACCAGGGACCCAGTTCAATTTTACCCTCGCATGACTGTGTCTGGAGTTTGCACATTCTCCCAGTGACTGCATGGGTTTCCTCCGGGTGTACCAGTTTCTTCACACAGTCCAAAGATATGCGGATTAGGTGGATTAGCTACGCTAAATTGTCCATAGTGTCCAGGGGTTTGCAGGCTAAGTGCTTCAGACATGGGAACTGCACGTTTACAGGGACAGGGTAGGGATCCAGGCGGGCTGCTGTTCGGAGAGTCAGTGTGAACTTGACAGGCTGAACGGCCTGCTTCTACACTGTTTGATTTCTATGATATGTAACTCATTTGTGCAATAGACAAAACTTCTTTGGCTTGCAAACACCATTCTTGTTAAGCATTATAGCAATGTGAATCAGCTTGCTTCACCTTTCCTCAGATTTTTGAATTACATTACCCAAACCTGAGATAGACTTTAGGTGTGGAAGTGGCAGCCTCAAGCTCATTCATGAGTTTGTGTACTATTTAGGAAGAAATGAACAGATCAGGGTAGATATAATTTTGAAGGATGGCTTTGATGCACCAAATTTTAGCATCAAACTTGCACGACAAAGGTGCCCCTACTGTCAATGTCATAGTGCAATGAACTGGAGGAGTCCTAACAACTGGTGACCAGGGAAGGTAGGCTTGTGATAAAAAGCGGCAAAAGCCAACCATGGCAGATTTCTCAGCCAGCATGTCAGGAAAACAAGTTCATTTGACTGGTCTATTTTAAAGGTGAATTTGAGTGCAGAATGGAGCCCATCAGGAAACATAAGGAAATTGTTGAATGCAGCAGCCAATTCCGATATAGTAACTACTTTATCTACATATTAGGAATATCCAAGGGGTAGAGAGAGTGAATGTTATTCCATCAATTACACAATTTTCATGAAATCAAAAGACATTTGAGAGAGGTAGACCAACAGGGACTCCATGGCAACATACCTATTTAGGAATGCGTGATGTCATTAAAAATTTAATTCATAAGTTCAACGACAATTGATTCCTGATGGTGGCAGTTCTAGATTACCTTGATGTGGTGGTGCAGTTTAGATAGCTATAGCTTCTTTGACTACTTTAGTGAACAGGTTAGCAAGGGCAAGAGTATATGGCTTAGCATTGCTATTGGTAAGAAAGTCTTGCTGGGCATTTGCAAAATGTGAAGGATTCCATGTAAGATTCTTACTACAATCAGTTTTCATTGTGGGGAGCAGAGCTTGGGGCAGTTGTGTAAGATGTTGCTTGCTGATATCAGTCCAGCCAACCCCAAAAACAGTGCAGACAGCCACTGCCTACCAGCTGCAGAGGTAGGCTGTTGAAAAGGCAGGCCTTAGTGATCCACCTGTTTCTGGAACCCTCCCCAAATCACTGATCCATCCTCCATCAATCCCAAGTCATGGACCCAAACACAACCCATGCCGAAGCAAGAAATATTACTCCCAACCTCATGGGCCCTCATGCCAAGGGATGACATGTATACCCATTTACCCATTACGTACTCTACAGAAGCAATATACCCTATAGTGAGAGTTGGATATGTAAATAAAAATGGATTAATTCACAACTTTTCACTTAATACTTTAGAAAAACCTTCACTCATTGCAGCCCAATAAATTTCAATAGTTGAACAACTTAAGCCTGTATGAATAAAGATCAAACAGGCAGAACTGTCAAATAGTTGGAGTTCAGATGTTTTGCATGTGTAGTGGTTGTGTGGGCTCATAAATATTAACAATCTGGGTGAAAGAACTGAGGGCATTGTTTCTAAGTTTACAGACAACACAGGATAGGTGGAGAGACAAGTAGTGTTGAGCTGGGGAGGCTGCAAAATGACTTAGACAGGCTAGGACAGTAGGCAAATAAGTGGCAGATGAAATACAATGAAGTTACAATAAAGTATGAAGTTACACACTTTGGTAGGAAGAAGAGGTGTAGACTATTTTCTAAATGGGAAAGGCATCAGAAATCTGAAGCACAAAGGGACTCTGGTGTCCTTATTCAGGATTCTCTTAAGGTTAACATGCATGTTGAGAGTCAGGAAGGCAAATGTAATGTTAGCATTCATTTGCAAGGGCCAGAAATTAAGAGCAAGAATGTACTGCTGAGGCTGTATAAGGCTCGTCAGACCACATCTGGAATATTGTGAGCAGTTTGGGCCCTGTGTCTTAGGAATGATGTGCTGGACTTGGAGGAGGTTCACAAGAACAATCCAGAAATAAAAGACCTGTCTTATGAGGAGTGGTTGAGAACTATGGCTCTGTACTCGATAGAATTTATAAGAATGGGATCTTCTTGAAACTTAAGGATAGTGAGGGACCTGGATAAACTGGACAGGGAAATGTTGTTTCCACCAGCCAGAGGCACAATAAGACCTGAGTGCACAGCCTCAGAGTGAAGGGATAACCACTTAGAACTGAGATGAAGAATTTCTTTAGTTAGAGGGTGGTGAAACTGTGTAACTCATTGCTGCAGAGGCTATGGAAGCCAAGTCATTGAGTGTATTTAAGACAGAGGTGGATAGGTTCTTAAATGCAAGAGGTTTAAGGGTTGAGGCAGGAGGATGGGGTTGTGAAACATTGAAGCCATGATCAAATATTGGAGAAGACTTTATGGACTGAATTGCCTCATTCTGTTCCCATATCTTATGATTCCATGGTCTGTGGTCTCTCAGCCAAACCTTGCTGTGTTCTTGGGGAGGGGATGGTATAGTGCTGATGTCACTGGACCTTTAATCCAAAGCTCATATTAATGCTGAAGGAACATGGGCTTGAATCTGACCACAGTAGAAGGTGAAATTTGAATTCAGTGAAAGAAAATCTGGAATTAATGACAAGCATGTAGCCACTTATCACAAAAGACCATCTAGTTCATTAACGTTCATCTTTACCTGGTCTGGCCTACATGCGACTTGCAACTCCTGACCCACAGCAATGAGGTTGATTCTGAACTACCTGGAGTCCACCCATCGAAGAGTAATTAGAGACTGGCAACTAATGCTAGCCTTCCCAGCAATGTCCATACCTCTTCAAGAGAAACAAGTAAATTTTTATTGTACTGAAGCAATGGGAGCTTCTTTTATAAAAAGTGGTTTTAACAGTGAATCTTTAATGCTTTTATTAAATCCATGCAAATGTCACGACAGGGTTCGTTGTTTCTATGCAGTGAATATTGAGTGAAAGAGCACGAAAATGCTATACTTTGACATGGGGACACTTGAGGAGGTCCTTTAAAATTTAACTGTCAAAAGGTTTCCCCATACAGCCTATAATTCAAAGGGTTCTAATTGAGACATATACAATTTTACAGGGCTCGACAGAATTGTGATAAAAGAATGGTAAATCTTTGGAATTGGAATGATTTATCTCAAAGGGCTTTGGCGACTCAACTATTGAGTACATTCAAGACAGTCTAGAAAATAAATGTCACGGAGGTAGATTGGACATTGTATAGTTGTGGCAGGGGTTAAGTGGCCTTTTCCTGTTCCTATTTCCTAATTCCTAAATTGCTATCTACAGATCAAGTATAGGCCTAAATGATTTTTAGTGGCCAGAGAAGCTGGTTATTGCAGGCCAGGTCAACTTTATACCACTTACAAACCATAATAAGACTAACATTTCTACAGAGCAAAAGGAAAAAGATCCTACAGCTGTCAGTTATAGCCTCATACAGCACGGAAACTGACCCTTCAGTCCAAGCCGACCACAATCCCGAACTAAACCAGTCCCACCTGGCCCATATCCCTTCACTAATTGACTTCATATAATTTCTTGATTATCATCAGGAATGTATGCTGTTGTAAATTGCTCTTGCCTTCAACATCAGACGGTAGCAGAATGAGATTATTTTTAAAAATAACCAAAGCATTTTTATGGGCACACTAATAACATACAGGGCTGCAAAATAATTAAGTCACATTAAATCTGCATAGGTAGAAGTGGATTGTTATACTGCATTTGAGTTTTATTAACTCAAATAATAGTGGCAAGTTATTACTTCATCACTTGGTTTTCTGATGTTAATCTATTGATGTTGAGTCATTCTCCCTCATGTGGGAATCCAGAACAACGGGCACAGTTTCAACATAAAGGAGTCTTCCAACACAGATGAGGGGGCCATTTGACCGATTGAGCCTAGGCCAGCCCGTGGATAATGCATGGCTTGTGGTAGCAAACAGAAATCTCACATGCATCGTTATTTAGTCTGGAGAGAAGGTAATCACAGAATGATGCAGCCCAGAATGAGGACTATTCAGCACCTTGTGGCTCTACAGGCTCCAAGTCCTTCTATCCTGACTGTTGTTTCCCAACAGACGTAGACATGCTTCCTTTCAAGTGTTTATCCGGTTTACCTCCCTCAGCGTTGAACTCCAGCCCCCACCCCCATGACCCTCCAACCATACAGTCGGGGTCCATCAGTACTGACCCTCCTTCCTTCAACCTGTTATAAAGGCAATCTTCGAGTAGTAAGTATCATATTTACAAGATGATAAATTTATTATGAATAAAATGATAATGCTTACAAATGAAAAATACTTTATTTTCCAAAAAGCAAATGATAGTTCAAATAAGTTCAGTAGATGTTTTCTGTTTCAGTGCTAGAAAGTACATCATTTCTAAAAGACAAAAAGTAAAAGTGATACAAAAGCAAAATGTTATTGATGCTGGAAATCTGAAAACAAAACAGATAGTTAATATTCAGCTTGTGTGACAGCATCTGTGGAGAGAGGAACAGCGTTATCTGTGACAGACCTGAAACCTTAACTCTTTCTCTCTCACAGGTATTGCCACCATGGAAGTGATGTTCTAATTTCAGTCAAGAATTGTTAAAACTATCTAGAAGCCAGCTATAAAAATATCTTGAGAAAAGAAAGTCAATACTAGATCTCCAGAAAGTTGTGTTTTTAATTTTTAGGTACATTTCAAACCAATAAACGTCTTCCTTCACTGAAGGGGTTCTGCTGTAGTGTGTTTCAATTAATTTCTTCTGTGTAGGTTATTTTTATTTGTGTTAGATAACAACTGAAACACATTACAAATTTGAAATACCTAATTAAACAGTTCATGATACACAAGTAACCTATCTTGAAGTTTCAATTTTGACACAATACTTCACAAAAGTTCGGCATTTTATGAAGAAAGATTTTCTACACCCCCACTCTGCCAAAAAGTCATTGGTGTTTCACAGTTCATATTACCTGTGGATGTAAACTTGTAGTTCTGAACAACTGCACACTCCAGTCTAATGTTTTTCAAATAATCTATCGCTTTCGTTCTCCTTTTTGTGTTCTCTTCTTCTCCTTTTCTTTTCTTTCTTGTTTAGCAAGCTTATCTTTCTCTCGCTGTAGTTTATCTTGTTCCTTTTTCTTTTGTGCATCTCCCCGAGCCTTCTCTCTTTCTGCTTTTTTCGCAACAAGAACAGCTTCAACATTTGTGTTTTTGAAAAGAGCTAGGATTAAATTAAGGAATTATTCCAACTGACTGACATTGTTACCATCATACTGATAAGTTTAAGGTGATTTTTAATATACTACCTCTTTTACAAATTATTTTGAAAAAGGAGAACTGAAAGAAAACAAAATAGAACCTATGTTGAAGTCACAGAAGCAGAACTTGGCCCCACTTCAGTAGAAATGTCCTTATTATAGATATACTGAAGATACACACAATTTAACCTGCTGTATTAAAAACACAGTTTCCTGATCAAACCCAAAGTATAATTTTCACTTTTCTGTATGCTTTATTAGGTTCCTGCCTGTATGATGTCAGGTTACATACAAATCATGATGGGTGACCAAGCAACATCCAATTTGCCCATAGCAGATATGGCAACCCTATCAAAACACCTCTTTTTAGTTAAATTCATATAACAGACAAGGCAATGCAACAATATCAGTAAAATCAACAGTGCTATCATGCAGGACTTGCTCAGCAATACCCTGCTTAATCAGCAATGCATAGTATCAACAGGGGTGTTCCGTTGACAAGATGCACTGCAGAAATTCACTAAGGCTCCTGAGACAGCACATTCCAAACCTATGACCACAACAATCTAAAGAGGCGTTAAGCAGCAGATAATTGAGAATACAACCACCACCTACAAATACCCCCCTCCATGCCTTTCAATACCCAGACTTGGAAATATATTGTCATTCTGACTGCTGATTGATCAAAATCCTGGAGCTCCCTCCCAAAACAGTGGTTCAAGAAAGCAGCTCCACCTTAAGGGCAATTAAGAATAGGCAATAATGTCAGGCTAGCCAGCAAAGAATTAATTATAAAAGGCTTTTCAGATGTATATATTGAATTGGCATAGCACGCGAAAAACCATTGGTTCCAGGACACCAGAGCTAGCATACTCATAATAAACGCCCTTTCACACTGAAGGCTAGCAAGTGTTTGAGGATAGGGGCAGTGGGATCCTGATGCCATAACAATAGGAAGGTTCACCTGATAGAATAATTTCAAGATTTAGCATTACAACTGCTCGAAAACAGGTGAGATCCATTTGATTTTTTCTTGGCAACTTCAGGTTAACTTAGGATATGATTCTGAAGAAGGGTCAAATCAGCCTTGAAGCATTTATGGTGTGTCTCTCTCCAAATGTTGCTAGACCTGTCGATTTTCTCAAGCATTTTCTGTATTTGTATCTAAATAAACTTGCAAGTTATGCCTTGGCCTGTTGTCAAACTTAAGAACCCTATTATTGCTTTAAATTTTGCTGCACAACTTGGCCCCATTCCGCAGTTGAAACTTTGTAATAACATCTTCCAAGAGTCAAGATAACATCCTGGGATACAGCAAGAACAAGCACGAAAACTGTTTTGAGGAAAATAACGAAAAGGATTTCCCATCTTTTAAACACCAGTTCATACAACTTGGAGAAGCATCAGTCACCAACCAAATAAAGTCTACAAAAAATGTAAATATAATCTCTGGTGGGCTTGAAGATAAACGCAGAATGGCTTGATAGAAAGCAACACCTATTTTGGCATGACCCATTTTCCAAATGTGTAGACTGTATATTAATCCATAATTCCTTTTCATCAGCTGTTAGGCTTAAGCTTCGAAATGGTACCTGTAGCAGGGCTCTTGTGGCATAGTGCTAGTGTCTCTACTTCTCGACCTGGGAGGTCCAGATTGAAGTCTGATCTGCTCCAGAGGTATATAATAAGATCTCTGAACAGGTCAATTAAAAAATATCTATGGTAGTTGTAATGTAAAAGTGACAAGTCAATCGGAGGGGTTGCACAGAGTGAACACTTCAGGCCTGTCACACGAGGACCAAAGTCAATTACAAGCACAACTCAATTATTCCAAGAGTGTGAAGCATTTTTTCTCATATTAGGTGTCACAAGATTCCAGACATACCTGTTTGAGCAGTTCAAAGAAAGCCATTGTAAATAATTTGGTACAAACCACTGAGATAGCCAACAGTAACTTCTGCTACAAACCTGGTAGCAAAATATTTCTCTCACACACAGTAGATTACCAAATCTAAACATGAATGCAGAAATTCCACTAGACTTGCGAGTGGACAATAAGGTAGAAGACGTGCTCAAGGTCAATTGCATGAATTTTGATCAGCACAAATGCAACCAGCTTCAGGAAAAAAAACAGATGATCCACAACTGAAGGCACAATGGAAAAAGTTATCACACAAGGATGGCCTTGCATGAAACAAGTGCTGTACACTTTTAGATGTTTTCCTCCATCTAGATATGAAATAGGTAGGAGGTTGTTGACTTGCTCGCCGAGCTGGCTTGTTTTTGTTCAGATGTTTCGTTACCATGATAGGTGACATCATCAGTGGAGCCTCCGATGAAGCGATGTTATTCTACTCCGCTTGGAATTTATACTGTCCGGTCTGTTATGGTGACTACTGTCATTTCCGGTTTTGATCTGTAGCGTAACACGCTACATGAACTAGATATCTCAACAGAAACATACTTTTGTACCCAAAACTCTTTGACAAGACACACTGTCTTAACAATATCAACAAAGTATAGTCCCATATTCAAGTGCAGCAAGACTTGGACAACATCCACATTTAGCTCAAAAAAAGTGACAACTGGTCACAGAGCAAATAAGACGTCTGGCACACGATATTATGTAGCAGCCAGACGTTAACCACAACACTGATAAGACAGTGAAAATGTGGGAGACTCAGTCACCAATCACAGCAGCATGAAGAAACACCCTAACGAGATTCCGTTGATTCCTTGCACACAATGAGTGCAAAATCCAGTCTGTTCAGATAGCTGAAGAGGTCATATGTGATTGTGAGACACAAAGTACAGACAGACGTTTTAGAAAAATGTGCGCCAAATGGGACATAATCCAAGTGCTAGCTTAACCACATTATTCCACATCTAGTGACCCTGCCAAGCAATAACTTGCACTGTCAAAAGTATGAAGTGCAAGGCAATAAAACAGGATTTTTAATCTTAATTATACTAACCCTAAGGGCTTTTAGACAGGAGCCTTCCATCACCAGCAGATATCACATTTGGAAAGCAAGTTGGAATGACACTGCCAAGTCAACACCTGTCCAAGTTCTCTGCAATACAGGACAATCATTTAAAAAAAAAACAAGGAAAAACAGAGATGCAGTGTTACCACATCTGGAGTATTGTCTGATGTATTCATCTTGTTATTTCAGGAAGGATGTAACAGGTTGGAGGCAGAACAAGGAAGGTTTATTAGACTGCAACTCCAACTGACCAATTTTTTCGTTAAGCAAACTTGTTTGATGAGTGGTAATTACTAATGAGTGCTAATCTTGTTAAAGAACACAAGACAATGACAGGCACATCAGAGCTCTAAATTATCTACACTATCCATCATGTAAATATAACAGCAGGACAACATTACAAACGAGGTTTTTTTTAAAATGAGGCTGGGCTCAGAAAAGTTAACTTAAGATGAACAGATCATGCCTCGTGCGTGATTACATAACCTCAAAGCAGAACTTCTATAAGGGATCATGTCTGGAAAAATGACAAAGGTGGGCAAGTGCAAATGATAAAGTACACCCCAAAACAAATGCCTTACAACATAGTGCACTGCAGACTATCTTCCCTAGATAAAGCATTGCAGCTAACTAACAGACCTAGAAGCCTGCAATTAAATTTGCTTCGGCACATTTCAAGGACTGAACCTCCAACTGCAAGTTGCCTAGAGGAAGGTTAGGGGTGGTGCTACTGCAGAAGTTCCCTTAACCACCAAAAACAATATGAACACCAGTTCTGTGGACACGCATGCAAGTCCCATATTGGACTGTTTAGGCATGAAGATCCATATTCACAGTTTGGACATGTTTGAAAAATTAGAAGTCTACCACAACAGTCATGCAATGCATGAAAACTTGTACATACAGAAGGTATTTGAATAACACACTACAGAAAGAGGTTATTTAGTCATTAAGTCTGCACCAGCTCTTCTGAAAAGCAATCTACTCCTGTGCTCTTCTCACATCCCACAATTCTATTTCTCCTCTGGCAGAAAATGTACTCGTCAAGCAAATCACCTACTTACACTTCACAAATTTGTCCCCCCTACACTCAGTGTGGAAGGGGCATTCAGAGTAAAGTCCCCCAAAAGCATTATTCCTTCACCTCTCAGTAACTTTACTGCAATCCTCTGTTTCTCCCATTGGTTGGTGGTCTATTAAGTACACCATATAGTACATTCTATTGGCTGCAGCAGTTCAATTTAGAAGTTAGCACAATGGCTGGAGCAGCTTTTTCTAATATGATTGGTTTACAAAAAACAGAATTGGTCAAGATTATTCTGTACTGACTTAAAACTGCAAATGAGATAAAGATCTTTACTCCAAGCAATTGTTTTTAAATAACTAGTTTAAAAAGAGACTAATCAATTAGAAACTGTTACTATTGCAGGTGGGATCTATCAAAGCAACAAGAAAAATAACCAGAGCTTTAGGCTACTTTATTGATCATAGTTATTGGTGGGTATTGAGGTCAGAACATGAAGAACTCATACGATAAATTGTAAAACCTGTTATTGCTGTAGAGTACCAGCAGATTTTTCAAGTTACTAAAAAACTGTAAAGATAAACTTTATACAATTATAAATGGCTTCCTAAATACAGAAATTAATATTGTTGCCCCACAGTAACCTTCAATAGCTTGTGCAATTAGTTGTACTTTTTAGTTAAAAAAAAAACAAGAAAATGCATTGTTTTGAATGATACAGTAATAACCTGTTTGCAAATTAAGAATGACTAAATTATCATAATCTGTTAACAAAAGATCTCAAGATAAATGCATCAGAAAAAGGATACATTTGTCTTCAAAGTTAAATGATCCACTTGTTCCATGGGCTTCTTCATCTTCAGTGCTCAAGTTAAAGAAACTAAAAATTTAAGCTGCGAGCAACAAACAACATCAACAAATGATCAGCAGTTGGATTACTCTGTTGATTTGATCACTGATTTTTTATACACGATCTATGGCCAAACTGCATTTAGACTGAGTTTCATTAATATCCACCTTTCCCTGTTCCAGAATATGTAGGATTCATTATCCTCCTCCACTTCTCACATCAGCAGATTTTTTTTTTTTTTTTTTTTAAAAATGATAGCAGGAATGAACAGACAGAAGCACTGTGCAATCTTACTTAATCATTCCCAAAGAAAGTAACTTCAAGAGATTTGTTACAAAGAGAAAACAAGTAAGCCAAGCAAAGAGGCTAACTTGAATTAACCTGCAGTCCCTTGACCTCAGGGAAAAAGATTAAAATCAAAAGTAGGATAATAAAACATTCCATAAACAAATACCAGTTTGGTCAGTATCGAGTCAATTCCAAGTGGAACTAAGACACACAAATGTACCCATAATTTGGCATAAGTTGTCAATTCTACTCAGGTGACAGAAGAATGACTGGTGCAGATGTATAATCATCACTGAAATCTGTCTGTACAGACTGATTTAAAATATCTACAACAAGATAGAGGGCTCAATGACGCTTGGGTTTAAAAAAATCCAGATACTACATGCAGGCATCTGTACAATGGCAGGATTAAAGACATACAGAATGAGGATGAAAGCACTTTTAACAGATCTGACTATTAAAACAAGTGTTAAAATTAGCACAATAATAGGTGATTTAATCCCAGAATGCCCAAGGAACAGTTATAAATGACAGTGTGACTGGAAGTATCATCACGTTTTGAACTGCGCAAAGTGATGAGGCAGGGTCTTCAAAATGACACAAGAAAGCAAATTCTGTAGATGAAGATGAAGATATTTACGAATCAAAACAAATGATACTGATTACATGACTAAAACCCCTTGTGATCAACGTGTTGCTCACTGATTCTTTTACTGTACAGTAATATTTCTCACGCTTTATATGGAACAGAACTGTTAAAATATTACCTTAATTGATTTAAGTTGTGAAATTTACTAAAGTTTAAGGAGTATAAAGGTATTACTTACTTTAGGTTTGCAACACATTTGTGGATATTAAAAGAAAGACAAATTCCATGAGAAATAGATGGTGTAAGCCACTTTCTAAACACTGATTTAGTCTCATGAGTTACTTTTGACTAAATTTCTATGAAAAAGACACAAATTAAGCTTAACACCGAGCATAAGGTTTTGTTTTGCAAAGTCAGTGATTCTACATGGATCTAATCAGGACGTTGTTACAAAATGTCAGTGTCAAACAAGTATTAATAGTATCAATTGATAAGAATCCAAAGAAAAGCAAATTACATAAACAGATTGTTCACTATTAATGGTTAAAATCCTACTACGTTTGATACAGGGTAAATGGGAGGGATTTTAAGAAATGTCCAACCAGTAAAAATTGAAGGACACTATCATGGCTAATTGGCCAATGAAAGACATACAAAGCTATGTGACAAATACATATTTTCATTCCAGATTTTATGAAGAAAAGACAGGGTCCCCAAGATAACACTTGAGTAAGTGAATTCAGAGGAAGAGGACCAGATTTATTCTTTCTGGAATATTGCGGGGATTGGAATTATGGTATCTCAGCCTCTTCATTACTGAGCAGACATGTGCTTCCCTCCAAAAGGAGAGATAGCAAAGAGTTCCCTCCCTCATGCCATTTTCCCCAGATCACTTTCTCAGCAGTTGGTTCAGGATCCTCTCTACAAAGTGATCTGTGAAGCAAAATGGAAATTTTTACATGCACATTGACAATACCCAATTCATTCCCATCACTCCCTCTTTCAACTGTTCCAATGTTGCTAAATTATCAGATTGTTTATCCAACATTCAGTAGTGAGCATAAAATTTTCTCCAATTAAACACCAGGGAGATAAAGCTATGGTCTCCAGACTCTAAAGTTTCAAACTTCATCTCTCTTGCTGGCAACGAGGCTGAACCAAAAACTGTTCACAACCTCAGTGCCATATATGATCTAGAGATGAGCTACTGATCACTCATCCAAGTCAATACCAAGACCATCTATTTCCATTTTTGTTACACGGCCTCGACCTTGGTTCATCTGTTACTAGACCCCCAGTCATGTTGCCTTTAGCCTCAATTATTTTCTCCTTACTCACACTAAAACCCATTTATCTATCATCCTTGTGCTCATAGATTGGTAATACCTCCCACTCAAGCAATGCCTCCATTTTTAAAATTCTCAATCCCTTCATGGCTTCGGCCCTACTTACCTCTGTAATCTCCTCCAACTCCACAATTCAGATGGGGGCTCAGCTAATTCTGGTCACTTAGCATTCCAGATTATTTTAACTGTTGTACAAAACATGGATTTATTATCTTCCCGTCTAATAAGCTCTGGAATTCCCTCATTAAATCTCTCCTTTCTTTTCATTTAACCCATACCTGTCAATAGAATATTAGTATCAGAGTTTTGGATGATCTCAAGTCTGCAGAGGATATAAGCCAAGAGGCCAGCCAGGCAAATTAGCCTTTTGAGTGGCGATGAACAGAATGCGGTGACAGCTAAGAAACAAACATTGTGGAGATAACCAGAAAGTCACTTCAGTCATCCCAATATTTAGTTGCAGTAAATTTCTGTTCATCCAATTGTAGACACTGGATAAGCAAGAAAACAGAGGCAGTGGAGGGTGTCTGTGTAAATATGAATTTTGAGGCTTTGACTTTGCATCCTCAAGACGTCCAAAAGTGCTTTGTAATTAGTAGATTATTTACGAAGTTCAAAGCAACTGCCAATTTGTAATAAATCACAATACATTAATGCCAGAAAAGTGGTTTTCACAATGTCAGCTGAAAGAGGCAGGTTAGCCAGAAACAGAAAGGGATTTAATTTCATCATGTCTACTTCTTAAACAATACAGAAATATTATATTTTTGACCTAGTTTTGACCATAGCACTTCCTTCATTCATATTAAAGACATTAGTAGGAAAGATCTAGCACCGCAGTAATATTACGACCTATGTTTACGAACATTACCTTCATTCATCTTCCTTCTTCTCAAAGTTTCTTTTATCCAATGTCTTCCAAATGATTTTGCATTTAAAAAAAAACATTGAACTATTCAATTAAACTTGTACCCACTAACAATATTCATTGATTTCCATGCTTGTCTTTGTTCTTTTACTGGAGAGGAAGGATGGAAAAAAGAGCAAGCCTAGTCTTTCAAATCAATGTCAGGAAAACAATTCCACTGAATAAATCTTAACTCTTCTTCCCAAAAAGCAGCACCAGAAAGGATATTCTTCCTCGTCAGTTATATTTGCATACTGTGCAAGAACTGCAGCTTTCCTAGATTTCTCCTCTTCTGAAGCATCTTTTTGTTTCACAACAATCTGAGCCTGTTTCTCAATCATACTTGCAATGGCATGTACTTCATCTTAAAAAAAAAATAGAAGAACTCCAGTTAGATATTAAACTTTTATAATTAGAACACCAACAGAAACAAAGATTCTTCCTTCTCAAATTATCTTCATAGTAATATCTAACATTTATAAATACAGCATACTCACCCAATTAATTGACTTTATGCATTTAAAATATGCAAAAATACAGCAATTACTGGACATCGAGATTATCCCAATCTTTACCTTCAACATTTTTTTCTTGTGTGATACTGTTTGTGGTCTCAGACCACTTCTGAATTATGTCTTTGCAAATGGCTGCCAAAGAATCTTCATCCTGAAAGTAACAACAACAACAGGAGAATTTCAGATGTATGTGTTTATGTTAGAGGAAAAATTTGCAATGAATTCAAGATTAACAAACAGAGTCATGTATATGGATCAAAACTGGTCTGGCCTTTTGTGAAGGTACTACGAGCAAAAGCAGTTGTTTCCAACATAATGCATGTTGTGAAGACTGTGCTTCTAGCTATCATGTTCTGGCAATGAATGAAATACCCAGATATGTTCTGCCCACAAAAAAGGAAGGACAAAATCAACCTAAAAAATTACCATAATACTTTTCTCCAATCATCAATAAAGGTCATCAACAATTCCATGAAGCAGCGCTGATGAACTAATGAACTGTTCACCATTTGGATTCTATTAAGAACATAAGGTTGCAGACTTTGAGACAGCCTTGTTCAAAACAAGGACGACAAAAGTTCAAATGCCGGCATGAGGAGACTATGACTGACTAATATCAGAATTATTACGCAGCCTCAGCACACCACAGTAGGCATTTCTCACGAGGTTCATGCAACTTGTGCCTAACTCTCAAGTTTTTTCATTCTTGACTTTGTTACTTGAAGGATCAAGTAGTGGAACTTTGGTGTAGTATTCAGATCAATTTGCAATTCCACATAAAGAAACAGTTTATAATCATATTCAACAAGACCTGGACAAAATCCAGCCTTGGGCAGATTAGTAGCAAATATCATCTAATCCAACCATTTTCCCTTGATGCTCAAAAGGCATTACCATCGCTGAATCCCCGACTATCAGCTGCCACCGACTAGAAACTGATATCAAAATTAGAAACAAGACGAGATATACAAATACTGTGGGGCTAGGAATTCCAGAATGGGTGATTGACCTCCAAAAGCCCACTACCATCAAAAAAGGTATCAAGGAGTGTGACGGAACAGTCTTCATTTGCCTGGCTAAGTGCAGCTCTAACAACACTCAATAAGCTTGGCAGCATCCAGGTTAAAGCAGCCAGCTTAACTGACACTCCATACATCACGTTCAGCATTCACTCCCTTCAACAGGGATGCTCAGTGTCAGCAGTTTGTACCATCTGCAAGATGCACTGAAAGAACTGACCAAGGATCCTTTGACAGCACTTTCCAAAGCTGTGACCACAATCACCTAGAAGGATGAAGGGCAGCAGATGCCTGGGAACACCACCATCTACACATTCCCTTTCAATCCACATAACATAAATGATTTGCAACTATAATTGCTGTTCTTTTACTGTCTCTGGCCCATAATCCCCAGAACTTCCTTAACATCAGTCTGGATGTCCCTATACACCCAAAGACTGCAATGATTTGAGAAGGCAGCTATTCACCCCTTTCTCTAGGGCAATTAGGAATGGATAATGACTTCTGGCCTAGCACAGAACCCATTAGCAAATAAAGAAAAGACCTGGACCAAAATATTACCTGCTACCGAATTTATGTCACACAAGTGCCTGGCAATAATCATCTTCATTAATATTCAGACCTTCACCCATGCTGGAAATAAGAGTTTTGCAAAGGCAGAGATTTTTTTTTTTCAGTGCGCTGTTTGTCATCGGGCATTCAGAAGAGGAAGGGGACACGACATGAGAAGGGGAAATAATTTACAAAATGATCTAATATTGGCCCAAGAGGAGTTGCTGGTCAGAAGCATCCTGGAAATGGGGTTGAGTAAGCTGTAACTGGTCACATGATTGAGCTCAGATTAGAGAGGGCATGAGCTGTGGGGAGAAATTAGAAAAGTAACGTGCGTTATCCAGTATGAAATCTGCCACCATGAAAATAGGTAGACCTGGATTAATATTTTATATCATATGCAGGTGATCCTAGGGGTTCATTTATTCCTGACAGAACCTCCCACAACAATTAAACTTTTGTAGCTCTTATATGTCATTGAATTTGTGATCAAGATATCACCAGGAAAACAATACTTTTTCATAACCTTCAATTCCCTCAATGTTCAGTCACATGGGATTCAGGGTGAGCTTGCCAATTGGATACACAATTGGCTTAATGGCAGGAGACAGACTAGTGGAGGAGGATTGCTTTTTGGACTGGAGCCCTGTGACCAGCAGTGTTCCACAGGGATCGGTTCTGGGTCCTCTTTTGATTGTCATTTATATAAATGATTTGGATGAGAATATTGAAGGCCTGGTAAGTAAGTTTGCAGGTGACAACAAAATTGGTGGCATAGTAGACAGTGAAGAAAGTTTTCTAAGATTGTAAAGGGATCTTGATCAAATGGGTCAATGGGCTGAAAATGGCAGATGGCGTTCAGTCTGGATACATCCATTTTTGTACAGCAAACAAAGGTAAAGCTTATACAATTAATGGTAGGGATTGGGTAGTGTTGGAGAACACAGCGACCTAGGAGTGCAGGTACATAATTCCTTAAAGTTTGTGTCACATATAGGCAAGATGCTTAAAACAGCATTTTACACACTTGTCTTCATTGCTCAGTCCTTTGTGTACAGGAGTTGAGACGTTATGTCGAGGTCCTACAGGACATTGGTCAGGCATCTTCCGGAATACTGTGTCCAGTTCTGGTCACCCAGTTACAGGAAGGATATTATCAAACTGGAGAGGGTTCAGAAGAGATTTACCAGAATGTTGCCAGGTATGGAAGGTTTGAGTTATAAGGAAAGGCTGGATAGGCTGGGACATTTTCACTGGAGCACAGGTTGAGAGGTGACCTGAAAGAAACTTTTAAAATTATGAGGAGTATAGATAGAATTGATGGTAGTTGTCTTTTCCCTAAAATGGGGAAATTTCAAGACCGGGAGCACATTTTTAAGGTGAACAGAGAGAGACTTAAGAGACATAAGAAGCAATTTGTTTTTTCTTTTACACAACGGGTCGTTCGCATGTGGAATGAACTTCCTGATGAAGTGGTGGATACGGGTTAGGTACAATAACAAGGTTTAAAAGACATTTGGAGAGATATAAGCCAGGAGCAGGCAGTTGGAACTAGTTTAGTTTCCAATTATATTCAGCAAGGACTGGTTGGACCGAAGGGCCTGTTTCCATGCTGTATCTCTCTATTAATCTATGAAAAGTCTCAGTTATGAAGAGAGATCGGAAAGCCTAGGTTTGTATTCCTTTGAAGCAGTGAGGCTGAGGGGGGAATTGGATTGAGGCATATAAAATTGAGAGGATTAGACAAAGGTAGATCGTGAGAACCTTGTTCCCGTGGCAGATGCATCTAAGACCCGAGGGCATAAGTTTAGGGTGAGGAGCAAGTGGTTCAGATAAGATTTAAGAAAATGATTTCACCCAGAGGATGGTAGAAATATGAAACATGCTGCCTGAGAGGGTGGTGGAGACAGGTACTCTCACAACATTTAAGAATCATCTCAATGAGCATTTAAAATGCTAGGGCACAGGAGGTTACGGACGAAATGCGATTTGTGTAGCTTGGTGTTTGTTGGGCCACATAGATATGGTGGGCCAAAGAGCCTGTTTCTATGACTGTCTGTATTTCTGTCTCTTAAAAACTGGATTGCAATGAGAGACTATTTTTGAATTTACCAGGATAGTTGTATAATTTCACAACAAGGAACTTGATACTGAGCCCAGGAATGCCTCAGTGAATAAAGCCTGTCATCTGAGAGGCTGGAGTGTGATAGAATACTGTCCTGTTTGAGTTCAACTCTAACAACTTTAAGAACCTCAGCACCATCCAGGAAAAGCAGTTTGTTTGCATTTCACAGTGCAACCTCCAATTCTGATGTGCATAAATATGCTATTCAGCAACTCAACAAGATTCCTTCTACATCTTTCAAGTATGCAACCTCTACCACCTAGAAGAACATGAGCAGCAGACACAATGGAACAGCACCACTGACTTGTGCCCTCAGCCAAACACCATCCTGACATAGAACTTTCTGGCACTTCTTTCACTGCCTTGGGATCAAAATCCAAGCACTCGCCAGTAATATATTGGATGTGTCTGTTCCAAGTGGCCAGTCATTTATCTGTACAATTACTAGACTGTAGTATTATTGGACAGGTAGATGGATAGGAAAGGCTGAGAGGGATATGGGCCAAACACAGGCAGATGGGACTAGTTGAGTTTAGGAAACCTGGTCGCCATGATGAGTTGGGCCAAGTGGCCCGTTACCGCGCTGAATGACACTGACTCTAATCTTGATTTATATCTGCCGTAAAAAGATGGTTTACCCGTAAATCACAATGTTTCAGACACTGGTACCACACTTCTACACTCCCCATGAGTTTAGAAAATCTACTCTGCAAACCTCGTCATTTTTAGAATCCGCCTACAGTTAATTTGAATCACAGATACAGAATAGAGCCCTAAAGAGAATTCTGAAGAAAGCCATAGAAATTAAATCAATTGTTTGAACAGTGCGAGAAACGATTCACATCCAACAAATGAATTTAAAATTCTAGATAAGCAGTGCAACTTTTCTCCCTTAAATCAAATGTTTTCAGAACAGAAGACAGAAAACAGCGCTAAATGCGTAATTTCAGGAGCGGCCCAGTACGTGCCTCAGATTCAATGGCGATCTGGTGGAACATTTCGTCTATTTGCGTATAAACATGGTTGACAGCTACGTGAGGGCAGATGGCTAAATATACTGTTTGGTGGAACAGAATTAGCCAGTGTATCGAATTACTACAAACGTTTCCAGTTATTACAACATCAGTTCTCGAAAAGATAAGCATGCTTCCCGATTTTAACACTGGAGGGATGCATTTAAAAATAAACTATAGAAAGTATTCTTAACAGAAAATGAAAATGGGGAAAGATTCCGTCTAAACCCACAAGGCCATGTTTCAAGACTACACTCACCAGAAATGCGGATAATATAGCTTGAAGAGCTTCAGACTTCTCTTCTTCGTTTTCTTCCTCCCGCAAAATTCCGTTGATGTACGAACCATAAACATCCTCATCAATTTCCAGCTCCTCCAGCCGTTGACTGAGCCACGCTCCAAACGGCGCCACCGCTGGATCTCCACTGGGCGCCGCCATCTTGTGTAGGAGGGAAGGGGGTCCTAGCAAAAACAACAGGTGCCCGCGGCGATGCCTGCCTGAAATTCCGGACACAACCCTCCTGCAGAAAGCACTCGATGTACTGACCCCGCCCCTTTCTCCGGCGGCCCAGACCCCACTCACTCCACACACCGCTGCTGCTGCCACTCTAAGCCCCACGCCTTCACTAATGATACAGTCTCTGTCAAAATATTAACTCCGCCCCAGTCCCCACTGACCCCGCCTTCACTGATGTTATAGTCTCCCGTCAAAAAAACTGCAGATGCCGGAATCCAAGGCTAGACAAGCAGGAGGCTGGGAGAACACAGCAGGCCAGGCAGCTTCTGGACGAAAGGAGCAGTCAGCGTTTCGTTGACTGCTGAAGAAGGGTTTATACCCGAAACGCTGACTCCTCCTTTCCTCCAGATGCTGCCTGGCCTGCTGTATTCTCCCAGCCTCCTGTCTGTCTACCCTCAGACCCTGTCAAAACTGACTCCGCCCTTGTCCCCACTGACCCCGCCCCTCCTCCGCCGTACAGTTGGAGCCGCAGCTTCCACGTGGACTCCGCCCCCCGCCCCGCGGGCCCCGCCCCCTTCATGTAAATTTGTGTCCAGTTCCCTCCCTTTCCCCCCCCCCACCTCACCTCAAAGAACCTCGTGGCCATCCAGCAGTTGATTCTCACACAGACCCCGCCCCCCGCACCTTGCTGCCCCTCCCGCACAACTCTTCCCGCCCCTTCCCCCTCCCTCCACCCCCCCCACCGCACCCTCCTTATCTCTGCCTGAGCCCGAGCGGCCACCGTAGCTGCAGCTGTTGGCGCTAAAGGTGGAACAAGTTTGAAATCCCGAAGCCGATCGGAGCGGCTAGAAAGGTACAACTTTTTACCCAGTCAGGGAGAGAGGAGCTTCGGCCTGGCTACGGTGATTCCCGCCCTCCTCCTCCTCCCCCTAGGATCGGGTGAGTGGCAGTTTGAATTCAGTTTAAAACCCTCAATCCGCCCGCATTAGGGCCCCATTCCTCGCGCTTTGCCCCCCCCCCCCCACCTTCCCTCCGGAGTCTGCCCCGGGCCATAAAGAAAGGCTGAAGCGCAGATTAAACCCGATTTGGAGGGAGGAAGGAGCAACTCTTAGTTTGGGTAAAAGTGTTTTTTTGACTGACTGGTTCAGAGCGAACATGGCAGGGCCTGAATATAATCTGTTATTTATCTGAGTTCCATTTACAACATTTGGAGCGGCTCATTCAGTGAGTATAATTTGCCCTCAATATTTGCATTTCTGAGGAAACTTTCCAGAAACTTTGATTTTGACACATGCGTTTTTCCCAACATATTGGAGTTGATGTCCATTCTGACGTGTAGATTCAACGTCAATAAAACTTACGTTTACATAGCACCTTTCACGACCATGAATACCACCTTCCGCCCACCCCCATCCCCAAGAACTCTAGAGCCAAAGAAGTACAGTCATATTATACTTAGGAAATGCAGCAGCTAGTTTGATACAGTGTCCTCAGATCTTTCACATCCACTTGATTGGCCTCAATTTCATATGTCATTCAAAAGATTGTAATAACTGTATCTCTGACGGTGCAGTACACCCTCTGTAATGCACTGGAATGTCTGCCTTAGTTTTCGCAATCCAAACCAATTATGGGGCTGGAACCCAAAGCTTTCTGATTTAGAGGTGAAATTACCACTACCTGAGCCAAAGCAGATGCATGAAAATTTTAATTGTTATGAAAATAACAAGGTTTTCTCAAGAAATTACATATGAATAAAGATATGTATAGGATGGGTACCTGTGTATGTTGATTATATGTACTGTACATTAAGTCCTCACTTGAAAGTTGTAGAAGCTACAACTTCAAAGTTAACTACTTGAAGCATTTCCCATTAAAGCTAATGAAATGGCTGTAGTTAAATTCTGTAGAATCAAAATCTCATCAACGTTTCTGCATCTACCCTGTTAAGTCTCTTCAGATTCTAGTATGTTTCATTGCCTCTCATTCTTCTATAGTCCACCAAAACTAATATAGTCATAAGACAGTCCCTCCATATGTAGTATTAGCCTAGTGGACTTGGCTGGAATTTTTCTCTGGGCTTTGCTATCTGGCTATCATTGTTACTACATATCCTTTCTCCTGCTGACCCTACAGTTCACAATTGATTCCAAAGGCTGGTAACCATCCTTAGCAAATTTTAAACCAGTGATGAAGTAGCTGTATCACTTTGGAATTTCAGTTCTTTGTGGCATGAAACTGCTACCTCAAGATCTTGCACTTTTCCCTCCAGAGTTAGTTTAGGATCCAATTCAATGGTTAATTTGCTGTGTATTGGTATTAAAGTTACAAAGGTACAATTACATTATTTAATAGCTACTCATCAGCATTAAACTTGAAATCAACCAGCCAACACATGAAGAAATATGTTGTTCAAAATGCATCTTTTGAATATCTAAGTTTAGATGAACAAAATCTATTAATGTACTGATTGTTGATTTTATTATTCAGAAGAGAAATACATGAAAATCCTTGTGGCAACATTAGAAGTTGTTTCAAAATTGAGAAACATCTCCTTTCACAAACCTTATGTTAAGCATGTTATGAAAGCTATTTGTTAACAAAGAATATAAACACTAGAGTTTACCCTACACATCAAATAATTGTTATGATTCCAGATGACGATATTATTGGACAAATTAGATCCTAGACTGAAACCTGGCTTGATAAATTAGTTTCAGAGATAGTAGGAACTGCAGATGGCTAGAGAATCTGAGATAACAAGGTGTAGAGCTGAATGAACACAGCAGGCCAAGCAGCATCAGAGGAGCAGGAAGGCTGACATTTTGGGCCTAGACCCTTCTTCAGAAATGGGGGAGGGGCAGGGGGTTCTGAAATAAATAGGGAGAGGGGGAGGCAGATAGAAGATGGATGGTGGAGAGGAGACAGACCGGTCAAAGAGGCGGGGATGGAGCCAGTAAAGGTGAGTGTAGGTGGGGAGGTAGGGAGGAGATAGGTCAGTCCAGGGAGGACGGACAAGTCAAGGGGGCGGGATGAGGTTAGTAGGTAGGAGATGGGGGTGGGGCTTGAGGTGGGAGGAAGGACAGGTTAGGGAGGCAGGGACGAGCTGGGCTGGTTTTGGGATGCGGTAGGGGGAGGGGAGATTTTGAAGCTTGTGAAGTCCACATTGATACATTGGGCTGCAGGGTTCCCAAGCGGAATATGAGTTGCTGTTCCTGCAACCTTCGGGTAGCATCGTTGTGACCAGGATGGACATGTCGTCTGCGGAATGGGAGGGGGAGTTGAAATGGTTCGTGACTGGGAGGTGCAGTTATTTAGTGCGAACCGAGCGTAGGTGTTCTGCAAAGTGGTCCCCAAGTCTCCACTTGGTTTCCCCGATGTAGAGGAGGCCACAATGGGAACAGCGGATGCAGTATACCACATTAGCAGATGTGCAGGTGAACATCTGCTTGATGTGGAAAGTCTTCTTGGGGCCTGGGATGGGGGTAAGGGGGCAGGTGAAGCACTTCTTGCGGTTGCAGGGAAAAGTGCCGGGTGAGGCGAGGCTGGAGGGGAGTGTGGAGCGGACAAGGGAGTCACAGAGAGAGTGGTCCCTCCGGAAAGCAGATAAGGGTGGGCAGGGAAAAATGTCTTTGGTGGTGGGGTCGGATTGCAGATGGCGGAAGTGTCGGAGGATGATGCGTTGGATCCGGAGGTTGGTGGGGTGGTATGTGAGGACGAGGGGGATTCTGTTTTGATTGTTATTGTGGGGAGGGGGTGTGAGGGATGAGTTGCGGGAAATGCGGGAGACACGGTCAAGGGTGTTCTCAACCACTGAGGGGGGGAAGTTGCGGTCCTTGAAAAACGAGGACATCTGAGATGTATGGGAGTGGAATGCCTCATCCTGGGAGCAGATGCGGCGGAGGCGAAGGAATTGGGAATAGGGGATGGCATTTTTGCAGGAAGGTGGGTGGGCGGAGGTGTATTAATTTTTGTTTTTGTTTTAAAAATTATGGTCTCTCACTGAAATGTAAACACACAATGTTGCACATTTAGTTTTAACAATAAAGTAAATAAAGTAAAAGGAATAAATCCAAACTCTTTATACTAAACATAAGTTTTGGAGATTTTGAAACTCGATGAAACATAATTCCATTAGTTTTAAAACAATCCTTTGTAAATCCCAAAAACACCCCCTGTGCAATACTCGCACCAGAAAAGAATCACCTTCTCTTACAATTAAAATAAAGCTATTAAGGTGTGACTTCAACCCACAGTCAAGAAAATTTGATAGGTGTATGAAAGCTCCAGGAAAAGGCTATCTTTAAAAGGTCTCAGCTTCAAATAACTTCTTTGTAGTTTTATTCAAATACCTCTGGTCTGGTACTAAAACTTGCTCTAAGGTAAACTACTTTTACTAACTTCATAGGTTTTTCCCTTTTGTTCTAAGCTCCAGTGAATGTAGGACTAACCAATCCAGCCTTTCTTCATATGTCATGAAATGCCATTCCAGAATCAGCTTCGTAAACCTTTGTTGCATTCCCACCAGAGCCAGAACATCCTTCGTTAGATAAGGAGACCCATAACTATGCACAGTACTCCAGGTGTGGTCTCACCAAGGCCCTGTATAACTGCAGCAAGACATCCCTGCTCCTGTACTCAAATTCTCTTGCTATGAAGACATACTATCTACCTCCTTCACCACTTGCTGCATCTGCATATGTTTTTAAATCAACCTGTTAAGAAATGTTATGGCACACCCCTGGAGCTGATGAGGCTTGAAACTATGCTCACTTTCAGTGAGTGGTGTACAAAGACACTCCAGTCTCATTGCATCTTTCCCTGTCTCAATCTATCACTATTAAGGTAATTGACCTTCCTGTTTATTTTTTGTGACCAAAGTGGATAACCTCATTTATCCACATTAAATTACTTCTGTATGTCTCAGGGAGGATTGTTAAGAAGCAAAGAATAGCAAAGTGAGAATTTCAGAGCTTAAGATCTTGGCAGCTTGGCCACCAGTGTTGAAATGATTAAAATTGGGGAAGTTCTAGGGCCTGGAATAGAGGAGATTACAGAGATACGGTTAACAGAAAATACTAATGTTTCACTTCTCCGAATGTTTAATATCTTTTCCCTGTCAGATACTGTTTGCCCAACTTTCCAGAATTATCAATTACTATTTGAACATTCCAGGTTTCCTAATTTTTGATTGGGGCAGAATGTTTTCATCACAAAAATTGTATTTACTACACAACGATTGGTTCAAAATCTATCTTCTTGAAATAAGTTTCACAACTGAAGTAGCTCTGCGTTTGTAGGTTTTTTTATAGAACTTGTGGTATATTTACAGTTGTTTCAGTTTATATCAAAGGCCTGCAAACCTTTTGTTTCAATATCCATTCTCAACAAATGAACACTGCAATTCACGAGTTGGCTTGAACATCTTGAGAGCTTTTTGACTCTTTCTTTTGGGCAAGTGTTCTTGTTTCCTCTTGTACGCATACATTTAAAATGAGATGTATGAAATTTAAAATGTATGTGTGAGGAATATGGAAGGGGAGCTTGGAGAAATGTGGGCTTTGTTAATGATAAAAATGAACAGTTAACATAAGCGATAGGAACAGGTGTAGATTGCACAAACTATTGAGCCTGCTGTGTCATTCAGTATAATTAAAGCTGATCTTTTGTTCAACTTCACTTCCGTTGGTTTCCTGACTGTCAAAAATCTGTCAGCCTGAAATATATGATGCATCCACAACCCTCTGGGATAGAAAATTTTAAAGATTTACAGTGCTGGAGGGAAGAAGTCTCTCCTCATCTCAGCCCAAATTATTGTCACCATATTCTGCGATTGTACCCTAGCATTTGAGA